GAGGCAGGAGACTCACTTGAGCCCAGTAGTTGGAGGTTGGAGGTTGGAGGTTGCTGTGAGCTGTGATGCCATAGCACTCTACCCAGGGGGACAGCTTGAGGCTCTCTCTGTCTCAAAACAAATATTGGCTTGGTAGAGCTCCCTTTTATATAAAGGTATTAAATTCCTTGTTTTTCATACCTCTTGCAAGTGGTTTTATAGTTTATTGATGTCTTTAATTTTTTTAGACTATTTTAGAGACAAGGCAGCTCATTCTATCGCCCAGGCTGGAGTGCAACCATAGCTCATAATCATAGCCTGGGCTTAAGCAATCCTCCCAACTCAGCCTCCTAAGTTAGCTAGGACTACAGGCATAAATGGCCACCCCTGGCTGAGATTTAAATTTTTATACACTCAAATCTATCAATTCCTTTATGAGTTCTGCTTTTGATGTGGTGTTAGAAAGGCCTCTCCGACAACAAAATTATGGAAACGTTTATGCATGTGTTCTGCAAATTCTTTTATAATTTCTTTCTTTCTTTTTTTAACATTTAATTCTTTCATCTATCTGGAATTGATTGCATGTGTCTTTGTAAATTGCTTTAGCTTCCCTTTGAAATGAAAGTGATTAATTCATTAATTACCATAGCGAGGAGGGGAAGCTGGTAGAGGGGGAGGGGTTGAAGAGACAGGAGAGAGATGAGATAATTAACAGGTCAAGGCAGGTCTAGAAGAGAAGGGATCAAGGGCTGCAGGCAGTGGGTGTGTGGAGGGAGCCAAAGGTGGGACACTCAGTTTCTGAGATTAGATGAGGGGTTAGGAGGTGACAGAGGTCTGCTTTGCCAGGGCAGGAGGTGGATAGGGGGTGGCTAGAGAAGGAGACTATGAGCCAGGTGCTCAAATCCCTAGTAATTATGGGCATGGGTTTGGTGGGAGGGACCAGGAGAGTAGCCTCAATGAGGAGAACCAGAAAATGGCAGGAACCAGCTGGCAGAAGCCTCAAGGAGCAGCATTTATTAGTTTACAAGTTTTAGGTCGGGGGATTGTTACTGGCCATCCCATTGGGTCCAAGAGGATGTGGAAGAAGCCAGTTGAGAGGTGTCCTGGGGGGAGCCCTGGGGTCAGTTATGGTGATGAGTGGAAAGAATACGCATAGAAAAGGGCATGAGAGAGTTTGTTTAGTGTGAGCAGGACATTCTAGACTCAGGGTGCCAACAGGGATCAGAGAGGGAGGAGGTTGTGAGATGACAGTCTATTCCTGATCAATGAACAGAAACAGAGTCCTGGAAAGTTAAATGAAACCCATTGATGCAGTACATTGAAATTCACAGAAAGTGTTTTCACACATGTGCTTGGAGATAAGTTTCAATGCAGAGTGATAAAGGGGTTTTCCCAGCATTGGGCAGGTGGCGTGTCAGGATGGGAACCCAGGAGACCCTGTGCTCAGCCTGAGTGCTCATGCCTCCCCACAGACTCCAACATCAAACTTCTTCACTCAGGGATAAAAGCTCGAGATGGCGTCTAACAATCTGCTTCTCTCTCCTTTCCCTGCAGACAGTAGTCCACCTTTCTGGCCTTGCTGACCATGAATGGGATGGCCAATGTGAATTCTGCCAGCCGCCCTCACTATGCCTCCTCCATCCCTGTGCCTCGAGCTTCTTCCCAGACCAGGATTCATACACCGGGTGCTTCTCCCCAGCTGCGGCCACGCCAGGCTGGGCTGGCCCTGAGCCCTCAGAGAGCAGCCTCTCCAAGACTGGGCAAGGCTGCAGGCCCTTCCAGAAACTCCTCTCCTAAGGCCTCCCGGGGCAGAGGCTCCCCCAGGGGTGCTGGGACAGTGAGAGAGTCAGCTGAGGGTGGAGAAGGCCTCTCTAGCTCCCCATGGAACAGTCCCAGGATAACCCCCAAAGCAGCCCTTTCCAGTCGAGCTGGCTCCAGAAGAGTAGGGGAAACACAAGGCACCCACAGAATGAAGAAAAAAGCCCATGAAGGGATTCCAGTCGGCCAGACCAGGGGCAGGAGCCCATCCCGGACAAGCTTTCATGGAGAAACTCAAACACCAGGCACTTCTGAAGGTCAAAAGCCTCCTAACTGCCCTGGAAAAGACCAAAGAAATGTAAACTACAAAAGTTCTGGACTTCCCAGATCTTTGGCACCTGATGATGGGGCAGCTTCACAGGCTTCTTCTCCAGTCTGCAGCCCAGCACCAGGCAAGCGCCCCTCTCCCACCCCAGGGGCCATTAGTTTCTCCTCAGCCCATCAGCAGAGTCAACCAGTCACAGCCACAGTGGCCCCCTTCCAGTACAGGTGAGTTGTGGGGACCAGGCAGGGAGGGAAGGCAGGAAGAATGATGTTGGAACCAAGGAACAAACCTCAAGAGTGGAGAGGCCCTGATGACCAGTGGCTGGTAGAGACCAGAGAGCCCCAAGGCATAGAAAAAGTTGTCTGGCAGGTGCAGGCCTACGAAATTGAGGGTTTAGAGACCTGAGATAGTTTTGAGAACATCAAAGGGAAGTCCAGTTCAAGGTTTGGTCTTTTCTCAACTCTGGGGACTCCACAGCAAACAGGGGCTTGTAAGGAGGGTACCCCTAAAATGTCCATTTCTGCTCTCTGGAAATGATGCAACAATATACATAATAGGGTATTCTGAAAGCTTAAGCAGCTAGGTACGAAGACAGTTAGTACCAACCTGTATGGCCAATTCAATGTGGGATATTTGCCACAACTGTGAGTTAGACCAACTTTATTACTTGGGCGCTGTACGTTCAGTTCACAGTGAGTAAAATCCCAACTGCTTCCCTCATGGCTTTCATGATACCTTGTATCTATTTGTCTGTCATTCTCACTTTTTCTCTCCTGTGCTCACTCCACTTACTATATTGCCTTATGCATATCTATTAATGCACCTGACATATCAGTAATCAGTAATGTTCCCTAAACAGACAGACAGGTATTGGCACCCTTGGTAGTGGTGGTGGCTGGGCCAGTATTCCTAACATGGTGGTCAACTAGCTAGTCTTTCTAGCTTTTATCAGACATGGCAAGTTGAGTGAGTAGAAAAACACTTCATCAACTATGCCTTTTTATTTGTTTGTTTGTTTACTTATTTATTTATTTTGAGAGAAAGTCTCACTTTGTC